CTACATGCATGTGTGCCCACAGAGGGCAGAAGAGGACATTGAATTCCCTGGAACTAGAGTTATAGGTGGTTGTTACCTGCCATGTGGGACTGGAGCCAAACCCAGCTCCTCTGCAAGAGAAACCAGTGCTCTTAACCTCTGAACTATCTCTCCAGCCCTGACATTAATGTTTTGACAAAAGTCAGGAGAGAGTCATCCTAGATATTAAATGTCACTGGGATATTGTTTTGTATGGAGAATGATCTACATACTTTTGGCTTGGAATGAGTGAGTTTATTAAGTGTGTAACAAGCAAAAGTAAAAGAACAAATAGCAAGTAGTAGGCAGATAATGTCCTAAAATCACATGCTTGTCACATCCAGCAGAAATAACTGGAGCAGCCGATGAATAGAATGAGTAAAAGTAAAAGTACAGGTAGCAAGAAGTAGATTGTAGCATCAGGTCTGGTGTTTACAACATCCAGCAGAAATGACTGGGGAAGCCTTGCCAAACTGTTATCCTCTAGTGCCTGAGTGAGAGATTTATGGGCAGAGCAGAGTGGTCTGTCCATGGATGAGGTCTGGATAGTAACCTTGATTGGAGATGGTTTACTTTTTAGCTGTTCTCAAGGGTGCAATGTTTTTAGCTGTTTACTGTTTTCCTTTCTACTTGTTAGAGAGCCATTGGGCCAGCCTGAACCAAGACTGGGGAGTTTTGAAGAACACTTCAAATAAACACATTTGAGTCTGAGACAAGGAGCCTGTCTCTTATTTTCAGAGTCAGCTCACAACAAGCAGAAACAGAATATAAGAGCTAGCTACGGGCTTTAAACTTCAATATAATTGATAACTGGAAAACTGAATGGATTTTGTTATGTTGTTCTTCGCATAAGAGATTTGAAAATATCCATCCTAATACCTATGATTGTTTAATCCATTTGTTCAGAGAGGAGTACTGGAAAGGGAAGGTTAGCATATCTCTAGAGGGTTGTATTTGTTTCCCTTTCTGAAAAGCTGTTTTCTTGTCCCTTTTGATTTTGAGTTAAATTAATAGGCCATTGGGAGGCATCCCATCCTGTAGTCTTTTTTAAGATGGAGGAACTAGCTCTGGCCTCAGTAATGCACTGTTGGGATTCCTATCATTTCCTTGAAAAGGAGCTATCCACCGTAGAAGTCCAGAAGCACTGTAAGTGTATGGTACTCTACAGACCCAACTGTTGTATTCTTTACTCTGTCAGGTATAGTCTTGGGCATATGTAAGGAATGAATTTTCATGTTCGGTATAGGAAGGCAGAAACAAAAGGCTGGGCAGAACTAAGTAAAGAAAGCCAGCCATGGCTTTTTAACAAGGTGAGTAATAGGTAAAAAATTTTTACTTATCTACTCATTTGAAGAGGTGTTTAAGGTCATTTGTGTATTGACTTTTCTGATCTCACTGGGAGGTGTGTGTGTGTGTGTGTGTGTGTGTGTGTGTGTGTGTGTGTGTGTGAGAGAGAGAGAGAGAGAGAGAGAGAGAGAGAGAGAGAGAGAGACCTTTCCAAGGCTTAACTTAGTGTGATGAATTTAGTGGACAATTCCTGGGTCTCTGATGACTGTTGGCGGCCCAAGGGGATGGGCCTTTCCAAACAGAATTTACTGTTGTCTCTGAGGATCTTCTCTATAAGTTTTCTTAGAGATTAACTCGGTTCTGGTTTATTTGTTTTTATTCATTTTTCCTTTGAGAGGGTGCCTTGCTATGTAGCCAAGGCTAGCCTCCTCAAAATTTGATTCTCCTGCCTCAGCCTTCTGAGTACTGGGCTTACAGACTTGTGCCACCATGTGCAAGTTCATTCTTTTAAATAGGCCAGGATTGTCATCTTTGTCACCTCAGTTCTCTTGCAGCCTGCATTGATGTAGAGTGTATTCCAACCAATTTATTCCAAATAAGTAGGTAAGTGGGGTAAGTGTTCCAACCAAATGAAACCAGGAATACTTTTTTGGGTGAATAAGTTGGTTTATTACCCTTTGCAGTAAAGGAGAAAGTGCACAATGGGGAAACCTAGGGCGTGCTGGCCATAGAGTTTATTACAGGGTTCGGGCTTGTAGTGGATGTCTTTTCTGAGAAGGAAATAAATACTATCAGGAAGCAAAGGTATTTCTATTAGATACTATAATATCTAGAAGCAGAGAAGGGCAAGATGACAACTGTAATGTACAAAGAAATGGCGGGCCCCTGCATTCAGATATGGGCTATTTGATTATTTTATTCATTTGGACAGAGTTCATGTTTCCATCTGTGTTGTAACATGATTTAGAATGGTATTGCTTTTATGTTTGATTCTTCATGGTCACAGGGTGCTATTGTCTGATGTTAATATTTGAAGTTTCTTATCCTCAGAACAGAATATAAGAGCTAGCTACGGGCTTTAAACTTCTGACTCCAAGGCCTGGGTGATAGGACCAGGCTGGCCTCTGGAGGTCAGAGGGCTGCTTTCCCACCTACTCCTCTATTTTCAACTACTTTTTATATCCTAGATAGACAATTACTCTTTTGTTATTTTTTTCTCTACCAATTTTGTCCTGTATGAATGCTTTCAACCTACTCATACCTGAATTTAAAAAAAAAAAAAACAAAAACTACCAAAAGTCTTAGGCCTTTGACGTTGCATAGCTTTCAAAATTCTGTTCATCAGTATCATGTGTTCTTTGTTCTGTTGGCCTTCGCGTGTTTACTACCTCTTGATCTATCTTGGTAAAGGATTGTAATTGAATTTGCTCTTTATTTTCCCTCACATTGACCTGCCCCCCCCCTTTTTTTTGGTCTTTTTGAGACAGGGTCTCCATGTAGCCCCAGCTGGCCTAGAACTTGCTGTGTAAACCAGGCTGGCCTTGAATTCACAGAGATCCACCTGCCTCTGCCTCCTGAGTGCTGCGATTAAAAGCATATGCCACCATGCCCAGCTTTGACCTGGCACTCTGAGGTTATAACTGTAAGGAACTGAAACTTGGCAAACAGACTACAGCTGCAAACACAGAATACACACTGTACTCATCCACTCCAGATCATTAGATACCATGCTCATTGGACTCCTACAACCCATTTGGCTCTGTCTTTCAGAGGCAAATTTGATACTGAAAATCTCCCTAGTACTGGGTAGAAAGTACTGACTCTTCTGTTCAAGTCCTACTCTACCTTTGATTGATGCTCTATTCCTGTACCTTTGATTCTTAAGCAGAAACTTTATATCTTCCTCTACCTTCTTGAGCGTTTTAGAATTCTTCTGACTTCAAAATTATTTTCCAAATTAGCCTTTTAGACTTAGTTTTTGAAGTCTTGCTGTAATGTGTCACTTCTGTTCCTGTTCCTCCTTCTTTAGCACTGTCAGGGTTAACATCCTGGTGTTCTGTCTCTTACCAGGTAAAATTCACACACAGTTATCTTCTGACAGTGTAAAGAGGCTGCTATGTGTAGGAGAAAACAATTTGAACACTACAATAAGAGGATGAATTGGTTGATTAACAGTGTTAAGATATGAGTATCTTAATTTTATCTTAATTTTAGGATATGAGTATCTGGGAGCATTGATTGGAAAGATTGAAATAAGATCATATAATAGAATTAATTTTATCTTATACTTTAAACAAAGGTACTGGCCTGAAATGGTAGGAAAGGGAGGGATGGTGAGAAAATTGATTTCTTAAAGTGTAAGAGTTGGCATGACTAAGGGAATCGTGTGTACTTGACATTAATAAGGTGCTTGTATTGTGCACGATCTTTTGGCTGGAAGGAAAGGATGAGGGTTCTGTTCTCTCTCTCTCTCTCTCTCTCTCTCTCTCTCTCTCTCTCGTCATTTTGAGACAGTGTCTCTGTAGCCCCAGCTGGCCTGGCATTCGATATGTAGACCAGGCTAGCCCCAATCTTACAGAGATCTGCCTGCCTCTGCCTCTCAAGTTCTGGTACTAAAGGCATGATTCAGCATGCCTAGCTAGAGGGCTCTGTTCTTTAAAAATCCCTGTATAATAGACGTGGTTTAAAAGAGTCAGCCAGAATCCAGACATGGTGGTGCATCCCTGTAATCCCAGAACTTGGGGGACACAGGCGGGAAGACGGCTTCAGGGTTATTCAAGGTGCCTTGTGGGTTTGAGGGCAACCTGAGCTACATGAGACCCTGTCTCAAAAACTAACCAGTTGGAAGAAGGAGAGTAGGGAGAGGGAGGTGGTGTGCGATACATGCAGCACATGCTGTGGTCTCCAGATAGGGTTTCTCTACCTTTAGGTCCTGAGGGCTGGAATGCTGATCAGAGGAGTGGACCAGATCTCCATCTCCTATCATATAGGGAGTATGCCCACATGTCAGTACGCTCTGTCACCAAGTGTCAAACTCTTCATAAAATCTGTGCCTTGCTGCTATCTCCTCTGTGATCTTGAAAAAAAAATTCAAAATAAAAATATCAATTGAAATAAGTGTGACAAATATAGCAAGTCATATTCTGTATACAGTGAAGACAAAAATGAGAAGGTGCAAACTGTGTTGGAATAATATAAGAATTGTTTCTCAGTGTTTTTGGATTCTTTACCACGTCAGGCTTTTGGGCAGTCATGGTGTAGCAGAAGTTATGTGATAACTGAATAAAAGGCTGTTCTGGTGGTAGAGGCTTAACTGTTAAAGCTAATTTAAGAATTTCCTGTTTCTAATGTTTGCTTCATTTGAAATAAAGCTTCTTCATGTTAATGTCTGTTGGTGCTAAATAGAAGGAATAGTGAACCTAAATTTAGTGTGTCAGAATTTATCAACAGTTTTTTTGCTAACTTTTGTTCTGTTGATAAAGGTTTGTCAGCATGATAATTGATTTGGTTACGGGTCTTTATATATAAAACAATTAAAGAAAACATTCATAGACTTTATCTTGATAATGATAAATGTTTGAAAAAAATGTATTATAATACACTTTTGTTGGCTACTATAAAAACATTCTATTTGGTTGAACCCTTGTATCTAAAACTAAGAAAATTCCTGTCAAATGCTTATTTTTCTTTTATAGGCAGTAGATCATCTAGTGCAAAGCTGCCCTCAGTCCCAACAGTTGGTTCAGTTCCACAAGACCCAGTTTCAAATATGAGGTATTTAAGCTACTAACTTGGATATTATATAAGATATATAATATAAGATATGAAAGATATGACTATCTTATAATATGAATATTATAAGATATGAAATGTTTATGAAAAATGGCTATTTTTAATAAATAATAGCTGCTACACAAGTACTTATTTTAGCTTATGGTGTATATTTCAAATAATTAGGAATTGTTTGGATTACATTGTTCCTTTTCTTTAAAAGTGGAAAAATAATGATATCCAGTCAACCATGACTATAATAATACTAAATTTTTAGCTAGATTTTTATCTTTACTTACCTTATTTAATTTGGAATGTGTGTTTCACATTCTAATTTGAAAAGTTGTGAACATGTTTTTACCCACTAAACTCCCAAGTGGTCAGAGAGTTCTTGAAATTTTTTTTTACCATAATTGGCAAATCTATATAACCCCAGGGCCATGAGTGTGCCCACAATAGGCTCATATTTATGGTATCACACAGGCCTTAAATGGTTCTCTGAGATAGGTAGAGAGGAACCTGTGAAGAGACAGTCATGGAGAGTAGAAACTTGTAGGAGTTGTGTGCTAATTTCAGTAATGTGAGCTGGAAGTATTCCTGTTGTGAAAAAGATAAGTAGCGTTTGTTTACTTGTTTAAAGCTGTAGATACTTGTCATTTTCCTGAAGAGCAGGAGGATTGTTCTTTCTTCTTTAAACTCATTTAATATATATGTTTATGCATATATGAACACATACATATTTCTGCAAACATAAATGCTAATTGAGATAATTAAAAATGTTTATATAATCTATGATTTTCATATGAAAAATTTAGATTAATTAAAAAAAAATTACCATTTCAGTAAACATATGAATGGCTTTAATTAATTAATTAATTTTGTGTGTATGAGTGTTTTGCCTGAATCTACGTAAGTGCACCTGTGTTGCACAATGCCCACAGATGCCAGAAGAGGGCGTCAGATTCCCCTGGAATTATAGACAATTGTTAGCTGGCATGGGAGAGCTGAGAATCAAACCCAGGTCCTCTGCAAGAGCAGCCAGTGCTCTTAACCACTGAGCCATGTCTCTGGTCCATGAACTGCTTTTTAAATAAACATTAATGGGTCTAAATTGTATGCTATCAGCAACAACTTAGAAATGAATACATGCTTCTTGAATTCAAGTTACTGATGGTTGAATGACAGAAATTTGATGAAGTCTTGGGTTTATTTAGGTTATAGTGGAGCCATAAAGAAAGTGATTTAGCTGGTGAATTTCAACTTCCAATAACAACAAATGCTTGGGCCAGGCACAGTGGCACATGCCGTTAATTCCGGTACTTAGGATGCAGAGGTAGGCTGATATTTGTGAGGTCTAGGCAGTTGTGTTCTAAGAGTGAGATCTAGTGAGTTCCAGGATAGCTGGGGCAACAGGGAGACCCTATCACAAAACAGAACACAACATAATACAACCCAAACAAAACACAAAAATAAGCCAGATCTTGAAGTGTGGTTGTTAATCAGGCTGTTGTTCAAAGGCTTGGGGTGGAAAGATCTACCAGGATTTAAAAAGGACATTTCAGGTCGAGGGACTGTTATGTAGAGTAACAATTTGTTTGTTGGTCATTGTTATTTTTCATGTAATTTTATATTTCTGTGGAAATACATTTTACTTTAAAAACTAGAAAACTAACATTCTAATACCATCTTTCTATTAGTATTACAGAGAGGCTAGAACATGCGTTGGAAAAAGCAGCTCCCCTGCTGCGAGAGATTTTTGTGGATTTTGCTCCTTTCCTTTCTCGGACGCTTTTGGGTAGCCACGGACAAGAGCTGCTTATAGAGGGAACAAGTAGGTGAACTTTCCTGAATTCCATTTATTTACATTTCAAGATTATTCAGTTACGTGAATAATAAGAAATGTGTGGATCCTTTTAAATATTTCCATCTTTGACAAGGCTCTCACATAGAGTCTGTGCCTTTGAGGACAGTATCACAACTCTTATATTTTAACCTGTTCTAGATTTTTACAGGACTTTGAATAAAGTAGAAATTCATTATTATTGCAAAGAAGTAACATTTATATTCTAGTAATAGAGATTGAATTCAGGACCTTGCACGTACTAGACAAGTGCTCTACCATTGAGTTTCATCCTTAGATTAATTTTTTTGTTTGTTTTTGGATATAATGAATTAACTATAGGGTAGAGAGTTTGGGAGACTAGTGTCACAGAGTTTTACTTGAACTTAAGGTCCATAGAAACTATATTGCCACGTGTTAGGAATGTGGAATAATCTTACTTTCTGTTAATAGAATTCTGTTTTACAAATAAATAAAGATAATAGTAGTATTGTGTACTACAATTGTTATATAGGTGATGCAATCTCTTTTAAGTACGGTACTTTGAAATGGTTTCACTAGATAATGTGCAAGGAAGATTGCTGAAGACATTGCTGACTAGGCAACTTATGGAATGGATCAAGGATCTTTCCCTTTTTTTTGGTGTTTTTGAGACAGGGCCCCCTGTAGCCCCAGTCAGCCTAGCACTCAATATGTAGACCAGAGTGGTCTCCATCTCACAGAGATCTGCCTGCCTCTGCCTTCTAAGTGCTGGGACTAAAGACGTATGCCACCATGCCCGGCTGGTTCTTTCCTTTTTTAAAGCATGGGACATTGTGTATGGAGTGTCCTCAGATATTTGAGAGGATGACTGAATAATTGATACAAGAAGATTCACCCTGAATTTCCTCAGGCACCAGATAGCAGTTTAACAGAGAACAATTTTTCAATTAGTTCTATTTGAGAACCCAAGGGTGGATGTGGTAGTACACAGGACTAATTCCCATACTTGTGAAGTGGAGGTAGAGGGTTAGGAGTTTTAGACCATACTGGGCTATATGAGAAACTGTCTCAAAACAATAACAACAACAAGCTTAATAGACTGATTTAAAATATCAACTGGCATCCCTAAAGTGGAAATTTTTAAATTGAAGCTAGAGAACTTTTTAATGATGATAATATAAATATGATGATAATAATGATAATATAGAATTAACTTTTCTCTTTAAATGTGTTTGGATTATGAATGCTAAGTTTGACTTGTCTTTCACCATGATTGATGGTTTCAAGTAAGTATTTAATTTCTAGTTGAGCTCAAAGATCCTGGGAACACATTCCCATCACCACTTAAGTGTCTTAAATATCAACTTATACTTTCAGTTGCCTTATATGTTATGTGTAACTTCAGATAGGTGAGCCCTCAGGGATTTCTTAAAATTGGTTAAAAAGCCTTCATTTTACAGAAATAAATATATAATGGAAACACAAGGTTTAGGTAGGTTAACAATTTCAGATCTAAGTATTAACTGTGGGGGATCATCACTTAATTTAACATGTAATATTCTTATACTTGAGTAGTAAACTTTAGTTAAGAATTCTTCTTTGCTTGTAGAGATATATGGAGTTGGTGATGAGCAATCTCCTTTCCATTGTCCAAAAGTAGCAATGAATTTATTTGAAAAGAAATTTTTGGTTTTAGAAATATTTAATTAAGCTTTATGCATCAATAATTTATTTAATAATAGACTTTTGATGAAGTTATAAAGCACTTTTGTTTATTGAAATAATAAAATTAGAAAATAATTGGATTTATGGAGAGTTTGTATTAAAGGGCTGTTTCCTGATTTTTGGTTTCACATACCAAACAACTTTAAAGTGGTATGTCCACTTAGGAACTTTTGTCTTTAGTCTCAGAGTTATGTATTTATGTTCATAGCACTAATGCCATTTAAGCAGGAACTTAGTGTTCAAATTCTAAAGTTTCTTATGTCCTCTGAAGTTCTTTCTCACATTGATTATTAAAATAAAAGTATTGGGGCTGGAGAGATAACTCAGCAGTTAAGAACACTGACTGTTCTTGCAGAAGACCCGGGTAGGAATCCCAGAACCCACGTGGCAGCTAACAACTGTCCCTAGCTCCAGTCCTAGGGGATCCGATAGCCTCTTCTGACCTCCACGGGCATTGCACAACACGGTACACCTACCTACATGCAGGCAACACACACACATAAAATAAAAAAATATTAAAAATAAAATCAAAGTATTATATGACATTTCACTACTACTGATTTTCAGAGTACTCAACTGGTCAGTGTATGTGTGTGTGTGCATGTGTGTATGTGCATGTGTGTCTATGTCTGTGTGTACATATGTGCGTATATGTGTGTTTTTCTCACTGAAACTTTATATTCCTTTAATCCCAGCACTTGGGAGGCAGAGGCAGGTGGATCTCTGTGAGTTCAAGGCCAGCCTGGTCTACATAGTAAGTTCAGGACAGCTGGGGCTACAGGGAGACCTTGTCTCAAAAAAAAGACCAAATAAATAAATAATAAATAAATAAATAATAAATAGGTCATTGCTGTTTACTTTCCCCTGGTTTATGAATTTATGTTACTCAGGAATAAGACTGAAATGAATAAATATATACATATATGTTTTTTCCATATGGGTATTTAAAGTATCCTGTATGTGTGGTAGACCAAACAAAGAACAGCTATAAATCTTTCTAATTTTGGATAGCCCAAGGTCCTTTCTATCTGTATTGTTCATATGAACAGATGTAAAAAGGTTCAGATCAGAAGGTAGCAGTGGCTCCTGTGGAGTAGAGCAGTAGGGATTAATAGCCTAACTGTGGAATGTTCTAAACTAACTCACTATGAGGAATAGGTTTTGAAGTTGGAGTAAAACTGGACTTATATCTGGGTTACATTTTATGAAAAATAACAAGGTTTCAGTCCAGAAGAGCCATGCCAGCAAAGAGAGATGGGGTAGCTCTGCCCATTCCTTTACTGCTTTGTGTGTTTAGGCTAAGGAGCTTTATTCACCTTGGCTGTGCAGAAACCACACTTTAGTTAATGACCTGCTTGCTTACTGCGGCATAGAAGCATTCAGTAGCTAATTTTTATTCCAGTGCCAACATTGCTACCATCCTTTCTAACATTGAGAAAAAATGGTTTTAACTTTTTTTTTAGAAAATGAAGGGATGGGCCAGCAGTCTATGCTGTTTATTAAACTTTAAAATACCAGCCGTGCCATCTTTCAGTTGAAGCATTATTAATAAAAAGGAAACAATTAAAGAGTATGAAGATATGAGATAGAAAATGGATGGGATATCTGGAAGAACTTTAGTGGAGGAAAAAATAGGAGTAATTTATAGGGTTTGTAAAGGTTACCATGAATTTCAGATACTACACTTTGGAGCCTAAACATGTGTTTCCCAGAAAAATATAGAATTAACAATTGTAATTTTTTTGATGGTTATAATGCCTTTTAGTTATTCAATCCTATAGTTGCTGGCATTGTATTTTAAAAACATATTGGCTATATCACATTCTTAGAACTGCTTTGGATCATATTGGGAATTAAAGCTAAAGACCTCTTTATATGGATACTAATGTTATAAAAGTTCCTTCCTAAGGATATTTTTTAAAAAATCGAGATAGAACATAAAGGAAAATGTAAATGAATTACTTTATAAGAAATGAGGAATACATAAGGGAAAACGGCTTGCATTTCTGCTAGGGTTTAGTGTGAGGTCAGAGGTCAAGGTACTAATAAGAGTGTTTGGGATGTCTGCTGCCAAGAAACAAAATGGAAACTTGATTGATAGCTGGAGGGTTGAAGGGAGAGAATATGGTGGAGAAAGCAAAGGTCAGGGAGCCATTTCCCTTCTCTGCATGTGTAATGATCAACTCTCTCCAAAACAAAATGTAGATGATAGTGATCAACATGGCATGTGTTGTGCACATTTCTAAGAGTATTGTGAAGTGTCATTATATATCAAGTCATAGTAAATGTTTTAGTATTTTGAAAGTTGAAATAGTTTATGAAGTGGTGGTAGTTTTGATACCTGGTTTTAAGTAGCTATGAAGTACTTTGTTTAATCAATCACATGTTCAAATGTAGACAGGTGTAGCTCTTTGCAAATATTAGTATTTTGGTTTAGGCAAATTATTTTCAGTTTGGGCAAAATATGCAAATGAACCTCATATTTGTTTTCTTTGTGATTTTAAAATAACATTTTCTTTAAAATAGGTCTTGTTTGCATGAAGTCTAGTAGTTCAGTTGTGGAGTTGGTTATGCTGCTCTGTTCTCAGGTGAGTACAAGATTAAATGTTGACGTAAAAGTCACTTATATGTCTGTTTTGACAGGGAAGTTATGCTAGCATTATCACAGGTTTTTGATAGAATAAAATTTTGAGTACTATGCTAAAGAATTTTGTTATGAGAATAAAGATTTATTCTTAAAAAGATTGCTTATATTTGGTATTAGCAGATGATTTTGAAGTACTGAGAGAAAGAACATATATAAATGAGAAATAAAGGTCTTTAGAATTCCAGTAAAGTGTTTGTATCAGTTGATCTGACTAAGTTTCTGTGCTCTGTGAATGAAGGTTATAGAAATAGATTTATTTATGTGCTTTGTGGAGTGCCACTCTGTGTCCACTGGGAATCATGGGTTTTCCTTGCCTCCCTTTTGTTCAGAGGTTATAAAATGAGTGATAAATAATTTTGAATCCTTGTCATTGCTAATTATTTTTGACATACATAGTAGACTTGGGAAAACATCAACAAAAATGTGGCAGCCATCATAATAAGATGTACAAAACAAATTCCTCAGAGCAGAATTACTTTCCATGTTTGGAAACCTTGTAGTTAGCTTTAATGATTTTAAAAACTTAAATAAAAATTATGTATCCTGTGTTTTGTTTTGAATGTTTTAATTAAGAGTTTTCTTTGTAGTCTTTTAAAAGTGGTATCTTGCTGGTAGTAAATTCCCCTACTTAAAACTTTAAAATAGCCCTTTTTTTTTTTTTTTTCAATAGGAAGGATATTGCTTTAGAGGTCAAGGGTTTTGACCCATTTCAACACCTTTGACCTTCATTTACAACTCTCATGGTACTCACCTAACGAATAAGGATAATACAAAATTAATGTTTCTTTACATCGATTTGTTCATTTTATGTGCCTATGTTGCCAAATTTATTTAGACTGTGCTGATGGACAATTCATGAATACAAATTAAAGATCATAGATGGTGTGAAAAATCAATACTATGCATTATCAATAATGTGCAATAAGAACAAATACTTTTAGCGATTACAGCTAATAGAATTTTATAATGAACATGTAAGGAGTATTCATGTTTCTTAATGGTCTTATTCTAAGATTTAGTGAGTTCTGTTTTATAATTTAATAAATTCCTTTTGAATACTTGATTTCTTCAAAAGCTCAGTAGATAAAATTTCTTATTAAACCATCTGATTTAAAATAATTGTTTATTTCTTGGATGGAAATCACCACATACAATTTTTATACTATGTGAAGTTTTCCTTTTAGAAGCATTCAGTTATTATTTCTTTATAAGATTATGATTTTGCTTATAGTAAATTGGTAAATTCTGATCATGACGTTTCACCTTTTAGTTTAAGATTAAATTTGGTTTGGTACATGAAAGCTTCTTCAAATATCTCATATTTGAATGTCAGAAGCTGCAAAGATAAAGAATGACATGTTGTGACACACCTATTTGTCATGATGTCACTGTGCTGTTTAATGCTTGTCTGATCAAATGGGATATACAGCTCACTTAGTAGAGTAAGTTTCAAAAATCAGAAATTCTCAAGGCTTTTGTTTGAATAACATACATTATTGGGTATTTGAAGTTTTTAGCACTTTTTTTATGAGTTCTTCAAAAATTCCGTGCCATCTCTATAAGATGCAGCACAGTGTGAAAAATGATGTGAAAAAATGAAGATAGAATTAGCTCCAGATGTATACAGATTGTTCCAGGGTGATAATTACATTTTTCACTTTGAATTTTCCTAATTCAAAGAGGTCAACTTGGTAATCGCAAAAGTGATTTATTTTGCTAAGAAGCGAACTATCTTTTTCTACATGAAAGCTTAAGAGATATGAAATTGAATTTCAAGAGGACATTTTACAGATACTGGGTGGAGATGTCATTAGTTTGATTGATATTTTTTTTTAGTGTGTGATAGGGTGGGAAGTAAAAAAACTACCATCTTGCTAAAATTTTAATTAATTTTTTAAGAGGAGATGGAGAGGTTTGAGTGCCAAAGATCAAAAGATCAGGTCAAAAACTCCTTTTTAATCACATAAATAATGGGATATGCTTATGAACATAACATTTGCAAATTTGATTTAGAACTTTACAAATTAATTGGTGTTAATTTCTTGGTAATCATCCATGTTCTGATTATTTTTCTTAAACCCATTCAGAACTTATTTTCCTTCTGAATTTTTAAAAACAAGGTGTTTGGCCATACTCTATTACAAAAGAAATTATAGTCTAAATTTAAGTAAATAGGTCTGATCATATTGGTTTGCTGCCAGTGAGACTACCTGGATCACCATATATTTCTTTAAAGCTTTGATCAGCATTATATTTTTCACTGTTTTTCATTAGTAGTTCATTAAACATCATTTCATGTTTTATCTTAGTTAAAATTTAGCATTATCTGAACAAATGTTAGTAGAGTTAAAAAGCTCCCTAACAATCAGTAGTATATCTTTTGAGTAAAATCAATACATATTTAAAGTTTATTGAATTAGATTAATTCATACATTGAATCACATCTAAAATAATTCAAGTACTATGCTCCAAAATCATGATTTTTTTTTGTTTATTTTTACAGTGCTGGTGATTAAGTCTAGGGCCTTGCACATGCTAGACAAGTGCTCTGCTACTGAGCCACATCCCCAGGCCAACCAAACCCTTTTACTTCTTAAAATGAAACTACATACAGTCTTCAGGGAAGTGCATGTTCCCTGACACACAACAAAAGTTGAGCAAGTTTTCAGTTATATTCAAATTTAGTTTGTCAGAAGAATATAGCTTATTAGTGCCCCGTATTTCTTGTTTTTGTGTATAAACCTGTCAGAAATGAATTTAAAGAAAATATTAAATAGATATTTCAAGTACTATTACTTCAGTGCTGTATAAAGTGTTTGTGTTTTGCTCATTTGACATTAATATCATTTTTGAAAGAACTGACATTGCATTCAAGGCCACTTTATAAAAGTGTTGTGTTGCTCATCCTAATTCAGCCTGACATACATTCCAATAACACTACCTCCCTTCTTGGGTTTAAAGCTAAATTTATGACTGTGCATTGTGAAGTGCATCATTTAAAAATGGTTTCAACCCAAAACATCTAATAAATAAATAATGTGTATGGCTACTCAGTAGTAGACTTTCTAGACTAGAAATCATTCCATCGGATACTCAACAGTCCACTATCGGAGAGAGCTGTCAGATAAATCTTGAAGTAGTGGCACTCATGTCCTGTAAATCACATATTATTGTCTGAGCCTTCTGCCAGGTCATCTATTCTTTTCCCATTTATCAGAAATGGATACAGTATACAGAAAAACTAGTAGCACCATATAGTCTGGCCTGGCATCGTGTTTGAGTAATTAATTAGCAGCAAAAGAATATTTAAATACTTAGCTTAAGTTTTCTTAAAATTTTAAGTCAACATTGATGAGATTTTGAGAAATATTTTCTTTATAGCAAGGTAATGATGTGAGGTTTGGTCTTTTTGACTTAAAGAATTCTCTGTCTTGGAACTATTAATTTAAATATGATAATCATATTAAAATAATTACATAGTTATATTGGAGTCAGCATCATAATTTTTAATGTAACTTTTGTGTTTGATTTTTGTCTGAATGTTTATGATAAAATTTATCTTTTTCTTTCCTGTAATTTCTCTACTACTAGGCTTCTGTATTTTGAATTTATCCCTTCAGAATATATGATACTTAGTGCTCTTCTTGCTCTTACAATTTATAAACTTTCCCTTTTTGTCATTGTGATGGGTAACTGATTATGAGTAGG